TTGATTTCTCTCCTACTTTATCTTCTTTCTCCTGCGCTGTAACAAGAAATTTAGTGACTTCAGAAAATGTAGAGCCCATGCTGCAATAAAAACTAGACAGAAGTCAGTGCATATGAATTAATTTATCATAAAAGAATATTTAACCATTAAAACTCTCAATAACTTTTCCCTATTTAAAAGGTGAGTGTAACAAAATTAAGATTTTATAGTACACTTTTAAGAAAATCCCCAAACTTTGGCAAACTATGCTTTAGGAATTATTTAATCTATATTGTCTTATTTCAGTACATAGAAATAATTTTTGCTTTGTTATACTTGAGAGTCTGGTACTATTAATGATTTGCAAGCTGGTATAAATTTTTTTTCTTTTGCACCTTCTTTTTTTGTAAGATGTGGTATATTTGAAAACCATTTAAATCACTATTTTGTAACAAGATATGTGCTTAAGTAGTAAAAACTCTTCAGATTTAAAGTTCTCTAAAGAGCTACTCTGATGGTAAGTATCTCTCTAACATCCTATTTTCCTGAAATGTCCATTAGAGAAATCAGTCATGAGGATTTGGGTGAATAGCCAAAGAAATTAAGACAGAGGGCTGGCTGGTTAGCTCACTTGGCAGAGCATGTTGCTGACAACGTCAAGGTCAAGGGTTCAGATCCCTGTACTGGCCAGCTGTGAAAAAAGAAAAAAAAAAAAATTAAGATAGCATACAAATAGCTTCAGGGTCATTGGTATTTATCCCAAATTCAATGCCAAGTTTCTGTTTTTCTTTAGGCCACGTGCAGATTAAAACATGAAATCACTAACTTCTTTCACATTTAGAGACTTAGTGAATAGTTATAACCCTTATGTGGTGCTGAAAATAAGAGACTAGAGTATGTTTTCAAGTTAGCTGTCTTCAAATTTTAATAAGTAGAGAAATTGTTTCATTTTAAAAGATAAAAAGGAGATAAAGGTTTGTAATTTAAGTTAAAGGGGAGGAAAAAAAGCCATTTTCATACATACCTATGGAGTATAGATTTACCATTGGTTACAAAGGTGTGTCACATATTTCATTGGCTACCTCTTAATATTTACACCTGTTTAGCACAAGCAGTGAATATTGCTTAAAGAGAGAATTCTGAATAATGGCCTTAAATGTAAATATATTAATTTAACATCCTCAAATTATCTTGAAAACCTTGCCAAACTCATAAGGCACATTCTCCGGAAGGAAGGATAAGAGAATGGCAAGAGCTCTTCCTGGCACTGGCTGAATGGGCTCTACAATTACTATCAGAGACTGTTCTCAGAGAAAAGCAGGCTTGTGGTCACTTCTTTTTAGAGGGGTCTGGGCAGTTGCCATCAGAAGATCCCAGAAGACCAGAGTACAATGGAGAGCACCTGCACCTTCCAGGATGAGGCAAACAGGCATTTCCTACTTTCCCTTTGCACCTGTGCTAAGGCATCTGCTTGCTCTGTAAGTAGAGCTGTCAGAGAAGCTGGCTCTCTGTTGGAGTTTAACATACATTACCTGATCATGAAAGTTGTTCCCATCTTACAGGAAGTAATGACATTCTTGAGTCTTCCTTCCTGCCTTATGTGATATCTTCCACCCAGTATGTTAAATGTTCCCCACCTGTGAAATGTATTTGAGCCTTCAGACACCCACGCTACAGACTCTATGCTGGCTTGACTGAACTCAACCCTTCTGTTGATCAATTTCTCCTTGGGCCAAAGGAGGAGAATGATCCCTGATTCTCATGAATATGCTCAGGATAAAAAGAGATAATGCCAGGAAGAGGCTTCAAATTCTTAGAAAGAACAGTCTTATAAATCCAAATGGAATGACAGTATCACATTAGTGGCTATTAGAACACAGCTGAGTTTAGCTTGGTAATCAAGAGCATGGCATTGAATCTGCTCCTGGCTCCAGAGGTCCCAGTTTGCCTGGCAGACAGCAGGAGAGGTTTCCTGTGGCACCAGGGACGGCCCTTGCCTTATATCGGTCAAGGAACCCCTCTCCTTTTTTGTTCCCTGTTATCAGTAGCTCCTAAACTATAGCATCAAGACTGCATTGGACCCAAGCCCAGACACCCTGAAAAGCCCCCACTGTGAGGCCTGTGGCTGTGCAGCTGTGCCTGCTTGGCAAGCTGGGGGCGCCCAGAGCGAGATGAGCTAGGGATTCTGTGGTCTTTCTGAGTCTTGAAGCTCATGAACTTAGAGGGAAGGACAGATTGAAAGCAAATTTGATTCTGTATTCAAATCATTGTGTAACATGGTCTTTAAAGTACAGGTAAATTTTACAATATGGGGCAAAGTTCAGAATAAAAAGGAAAAAAAGAACAACAACAACAAAATATATATATATAAAGAAAAAAATTAAAAACAAACAAACAAAAAATAAAAAGGACAAAGCTAAAAATTAGGGAAAGTCTTCCAGAGTACCCAAAGGCCTATGTACTTGTCCAAACATAGCCAGGGCTTATTGTGATTTAAAGTCTTCCCCTTGCCTGTAGGGCCCACATTCTGTCTGTGGCGGGAGAGGATTCCCACCCCTCTGACCCCTCCCTTGCCTCATCTAGACCTTAGCAGCTTCCCCAAACCTTAGCCCCAGCCTCATTCATTCCTCAGGCCCTGTGGGAACCCTGTGTCAGGTGTTATCAGAATTCCACTTGGTGATTTTTAAGGTTTCAAGAAAAACAGGAGTTTGGAAAGTTTGACTAATGAGATATCCAAAAATAATAAATAGAATGTGGAATGAAACACAGAGCTCTCTATGCTTGGCTTGGAGAGGACTAGAGGAACCAAACCTGAGATGATCACCAGGAGGTAGGAAGCTTAACTCTTTTTTAAAACACAGTTATAATCCTAAAAGTTTTTTTAGTGACTCAGAATCCCAACGGGAAACTGTATTCTAAAACATTTAGCCTTTACCTTGGACAGTCAGGGACCAGTTCGGATGTTCTGAGCTAATCTGAATGAGAATTGGGACAAGGCTTAGAGTGCTTTATCCACAGAGGAACCAGTCAAACAAATAAGAGTCCAGAGGGACTTTATCGGGTGCTTGAATAACTACCTAAGCAGAGATGCCAAATGCAAAACATTCTTAATCTATTAACAGAGGAATCTCTCTAGTCAATATTTTGTTGGCCAAATTAATTATTTACCCAACAAGGATACTATAAATCTTTAGTAAATGGGCCCTTCCTTTGTTCAGGCCAGCCCTTCTCTTAATTCTAAATTATTATATGCTTAAACCAAAATCTGTAGAATTTACAACTCTTATTTGGACACAGAATTTTTTCTTTAAAAAAAAACTCCACTGTCACTTAGATCAAACTGCCTCTAGATCTCAAAAGGTAAGTGCATGGGGCTGAGTAGGTGAGGCCTGGTCCCTCACTCATACAGGTGGATACCCTACCCCCTAAACAAACCCTTTTGACTGTTTTATATACTGAGTTTACTCATTATTCTGCTATTTTTAAAAGGGGGTTTGAAAAACCACTGACTTAGGTCGGCAGGCTGTCAGAGCTGGAAGTTACTTAAACAGTACTGGGTCCAACACCCATGGTCCAGAAAAAGTAGAATATTGGGCCTCTTCTTTGGGACAGAATCCAGATGGTTTCTTTATTCAAGAAAGAAGGGGGGGGACCCTAAAAACCGCTTCTGGACATTAAAGAAGCATCCAACTTCAATAGGCAAATATATCCTCTCATGACTGTTGTACTATAATCATTCCAGCATCTAATACTTTCTAAAAACAAACCAACAAAACAAAACAAAAAGCCTAGGCTAATAGATAAGACATCACAAATTACAGAAAGAGATGTTTATAAACACACTCTGTCCACTATAGCATTTAGGATGGAAAGTCGAGAGTCCAAGTACAATCTACGTTAAGCAAATTCAAAGTATGTAATTACAATGCAGCTTAATGGTTATTTATATTACAAAATGGTTTGTCAAAACATTGTCTACAGAGCTAACATCACTCAGCATTTAAAATATAACTCATTTACAAACACTTAATATATATACAACTTGAGGAAATATGCCTTGGTGTAAAATGAGGGCAGAGGGAGGACAGCAGGGAAAAAGTAACAGCCCCATTCCTTAGGTGTCTGGGGTTAAGGGACCAAATATAAGATTCAAGGTAAGGCGAAGGAAGCGTGGAGTGACGATACTCACAATGACTTTTTTTTCCCAAATAACTAATTATTCTTAACCTGCTTCCCAAGCTGGATTTCGTAGAGCTATGGCTAAAACTTCTAGCCACAGAGATTAGCATGAGGCTGCAATTTGAGGATATGACACCCTGGAGAGACAGCATACAGCAGGTAATGAACACCCATGAGCACAGTATGAGGATATGACAGCGTGGACACACAGGAGATGAGGGACAGTGTATATCCATACAAGGGTAGGATACCTTAGACACACAGGATATATGACACTGTGGACAAAAGGATATTCAGTTAGACACAGGCTTGAGTTTTCTACTAAAGCAATCCTTCAGGTCTTTGTTGCAAGAGAAAAATGAGACAGTAGACAGATATCTGCCTGGTTCAAAAGATCAGAAAGCAATTTGGTCTAATTCAGCCAAGTGTGCTTAACTTAAGGCACAGATGTAGGGCAGAAAGAGCCTCTGCCAGGTGGGGCAGCATGGATGGAGGGAGGCCCTTTGGATTCCCCACCTTCCACAAAGCTGTGTCCACCGAGAGTGAAGAGGTAAGGAAGGCAGAGGCCAGGACATTACCTGTTTGCATATTGTAAATGGCTAAGCAGCAGAAGTAAGTAATAGATGAAGATAGTGTTTTAGATAATAAATCAAAACCCATCCAATAAGGTTCCACTTCCTCTGGTTCTAATACAAAAAAGGATGAGAGACAGAAGAAAAAAAAAAGAGAGGGGTGGGAGGGAGGGAGAAATGCAGAGAAAAGAGAAGGAAAAAGAGAGAATCAGGGGAAGAAGAGGAGAAAAAAATGGGGAGAGTGTAGTAGGAGAAAGAGAATGGATGAATGAATTCTGAGCAGTACTTATTGCCAGGGAATTCTACTGTACAACTCAGAGGAGTCTGTGAGTGGAGACATGAATAGCAACTCTGCTCACTGTGAGGGGCGGCAAGAGAGGTCTTGGAAACACTTTGGTCTCCAGTGTTTGGGGCCTGTTTTCCTGCTTGGCCTCTGTGAGAACATGCTTTTGGGTGTTCAGGAGAGGTCTTGGCTCCTTGACTTTGAATTTGGCTTTGTAGTTTTGCACTCCCTGTTTCTGTAAAAGCTGCAGGGTGGCAAGATAGCGAATGCTGATGGGGTTGGGAGGGCACACCAGGTTTTTCTCAGGCAGGAGGGACCAGTGCAGGCAGCACCGCTCAGGGTTGGCCAGCATGGATGTCCGGGCTGCTGGGGAAGGGAAGGGCAGCATGTTGTTGACCTTAAGGTGCTTGGCCAGCTCAGTGGGTCTCTTTTCACTTTTCCTGTCAACCATTTTCAATCCATATGCACAAGCCATACGCTCATCCTTTTCCACACAAAGTACCTTCTCTTCTGACTGCAAGAGAAAGTTCTTACTCTCCTTACCCATAACATCCAAGCCGTTTTGTGGTGAAGCTTTCAGGGGAGGCAGAACTGAGAGGGCTCTGGAAACCAAGGAGTCTGAGTCGGAGAGCTCTCTGTCAGTGCCTCCACTGGGACTCTTGAGGGCCTTTCCCCTGGTAGTCTCAGGGATGACCCAGTCTTCTGTGCACCAAATATATTGCTTCATTTGTAGACTTTTTTTCTCTTTGTGAATGTAGGTGGGAAAGCAGATTTTGCTAATCTCCCTGGAAGCAGTCTTAGGACTCTGGGGCTGCTCCTGAATCTGGGAGGGGCTGCTCCGATCTTTCTCCAGGCTTGCCTCAGCCATAGCCCCTGCCCCCAATTTCCCAGCCTCCATCAAAGGCCTGGCCTCAAGGTTCCCTTGGGAGAGACTGACACAGAGTAAACAGCTGCTGCTGGCACTTTCTCCTACCCTCGCCTTTTTTGGTTTCTTCCTCGACCAGATGCAGGCAGTTGGAGAAGTCCTTCCCCAGCCTTGGACCTGCAAATAAAAAGCATATTACTCTCTAACTGAATTGCTCAAACTCTAGTTGCCCGAATTTTGGCCACATCCCCGTTTTGGCAGTCTTATATGAACCAATATTTTTCTTAAAATTGACTCACCTTTTAAAAGTTTTAATACCTATTTTAGCCTTATACTAAGCAACAGTATTTGTAAATGTCCATTTTGATGTGCTGACTCTTTTCGGATGCACACTAAACTCAGAACTATGAAAATAAAATCAAAACTGTTCAAACTTGTCCTATCTATAAGGATTTCTTGTACCGCCAGTTTCTGTTTACCATATCTAGGGTGGATGTTGCTTGGAGGGGCTGGAGAGAGAGCAATGAGCAGAGGCAGGTCCTGAGGTGCACAGGCATTCATACCTAAGGCACCTCCACCCCATCCACTTCCAGAGTACCCTGGTTGACCTTGCCACAAAGGTCACCATTAAAACAGGGTTGTCAGATAAAGATACAGGACATTTGGGACATACTTATTCTATGTTGTTTATCTGAAATTCAAATTCACTGGGCATCCTATATTTTCATTTGCTTAATCTGTAAACCCTACATTTAATCACTGGATTAGACCAAGCTTCCTTACAGTTTTAAATTTAGGATTCTATTATTGATTCCAAGAATAGTTTAAGCATAAACCCACAAGGTTCTGAGTAGAACCATTAGGACAGAAACTTCAGGTCTCTCAGGGAGTTTAGCACAGCAGTTAGGGAGCTCAGGTTCTGGAGTCCAGAGGACTTGGATTCAATCCCCGCCTTGGTCACTTACTGGCTGGGTGATCTTTGGCATGTTATTTTATCTTTTGGGTGCTGAATTATTCTTATCCAAAAAATGAGGCTGTTAATACCTGCCTCACGTGACTATTGAGAGGCTGAACAAATTAATGTATGTAAAGCATTTAGTACTGTTCTGTTCACATACTGAAGTGACCATAAATACTCAGAAACTGGTACTGCTATTATCATCAGTAATATTTTATTTCTGTTCTAAGAGTTTCTATTCTCCATTGATTCCATGTTTTTTGGTAATATTAGCTATTTTTGAGAAAGAAAGGCTTGTATCAAAACACTGATATACAAGAGCTCTAACTCAAGATACTCACTGCTTCTTCCCATCCAGTTCCAATAATAAACTCATGGGCTTTTTCATCTTGTTCAAGTGTAATGTCACTGATATTAAGAAGACACCAAATATGATTCTTTTCACTTCTTTCATCTGGACAAGTACAGGTTAGTTCTGTTTCTTCTGTGCTTCGAATTTCATTATTTTCACTATTTTCTAAATCAGTCTCATTTTTCGGACAGAAATCCATTACTGTGATGGTTGCTTAAAGTTTTTAACATCTTCTTCCTGCAGTTTGAAAATGTGGATTGAACTTTTGTTTTAATATTAATTTTTTTAAAAAGCAGTTAAATTAGTCAGGTGAAATATCTTTAAGACACATTCAGAAATGGACTGTGAACAAATATTATGAAACCATCATTGCCAACTACTGACATTATAAAAGATAAGGCTAATTTTAATTAAAGACTAATGGATTTAATTAAAGACCAATGTTAGGAGTGAAGAAAGGACAGGAAGACATTAGCACAGGCTCTATCTCTTGTGTTGGGGTACAGAGTGCATTAAAGAACATAGGTTCAAACATCCCCACCCTCCCATTCCAAAAATGTCCAAATAATATTCTGTTCACATCAAGAGAACTGTAGTGGCTATGTGTGATTTATGTACCCCCAGCCTCCTTGCCCTCCTCCTTTCACCCTTCCCAACAACCCTTGATACGGGCTTGGGGATCCATAAGCTTCTGAGGAAGCTAGTGGATTATGTAGTCTAGGCTAAGCCAATCATTGATTCATTCTCCTTCCCATACCTCCACCCCTGTGTTCCCACTCTACTCCCCAAAGTAACTACTACTTCTCAAAAAAAGAAAAGATAAAGAAAATAAGTGTTGGTAAGGATATAAAGAAATCAGAATCCTCCTTCATTGGTTGTGGGAATGAAAAATGGTTTTTGGAAATGTTTGGAAAACAGTTTGGTAGCTCCTCAACAACTAAGAATAATGGATAAAATATAAAAAAGGTACCTGAAGGTACTAGAGAGCACCCAAAAGCAAGCAGACACGGAGGGCATCTAGACTTGGAAATAGGAAAGGGGATAGGTTAGTTTCCTGTTTTCTACTGCTTTTTATCTGAAGACTGGCATTGATCTGAAGAACCAAGGGACAGAGTTCAGGGCAAATAAAGTAAATGGAAAGTGGATTGGGGAAAATTCTGGAAAGGAGAGAGCCAGAAGAGTGGATATCCCTAACTTCTTCGTAAAAATTCTGCTCAAATCTCTGGCTGACCCCTGAACTACATACGCATAGGTCAGATTCCAAGGAGCCCAGATGAAAGTAAAAGAACTGAACAGAGATTTCTGCTGCTGCCTACTAAAACAGAAATGGAGCATGCAGTTTAAGTCCAGCCAAAATAAGTGCCTTACTTGAAAAATTCAGGATTCTTCAGAGGAACATGATAGAATGGAGTTTCTATAATGTATGATTCACAATTTTCAGGATTCAGTCCCAAACTACTGAACACACAAAGAAACAAAATGTAAATCACCCTGAGATGACCCAGTTATTGAAATTGGCAGACAGGATTTTAAGAAGAGCTATTATGACTATTTTTAAGGACACAAATGAAAATATTCTCATAATAAAGTAGCAAATAGGAAATCTAGTAGAGAAATGGAAATCACTTATTAAAAAATGAAAACTCTAGAACTGAAAAATATAAAATATGAAATAAAAAAATTAACAGCAGATTGGAAATGACAAAGGAAGAGTCATAAACATGAAAACAGATCAATAGAAATTATTCAATACAGAAAATATATAGAAAAGAGTTTAAAAAATCAACAGAGCCTCAGGGACCTGTGGGACAATATTAAATAGGCTAAAAAATATATATAATTGGAGTCCCTGTAGGTAAGGAGAATGAGAATGTGGCAGAAATAATTTCTTTTTTTTTTTTCCTTTTTGTCTTTTTTACTGACTGGTAATGGGATCGCAACCCTCGGTGTCGCGCCTGTACCAGGGACCGGCAACAGGATCGTAACCCTCGGTGTTGCGCCCGCACCGCGCTCAGCCAGTGAGCGGGAACCGCTCTCCACATGCGATCCGAACCCTCTCCAGTGCGCCACCGGGCCAGCCCAGAAATAATTTCTGAAGGCATAATTTATGGCTGAAATTTCCCAAATATGGTAAAAAAAAAAAATTTATAGATTCAGGAAGTTCAGTGTGAATCCCAAGAAGGATAAATATAAAGAAAGCCACACAGAGCCACATCAGAGTCAAACTTCTAAAAACCAAAGTAGAAAGGGAAATCTTAAAATCAGTCAAAGAAAAACTTCAGATCATATACATGCAAAAATAACATAAATAATCCCTAACTTCTCATCAGAAATAATAGATGCTATAGACAGTGAAATGACTTCACTAAAATGCCAAAAAAAAAAAAAAAATGGCCAAACAAAATTTTATGCCCAGTGAAAATCTCCTTCAAGAATAAAGGTAAAATAAAGACTTTTTCAGATAAACAAAAACTTGGAATTTGCTATCAGAAGACCTGTACAAGAAATGCTAAAATTCTTTAGACTGAATAGAAAGGATATCAAATGTGGAATTCAAGAAGGAATGAAGAGCACCAGAAATGGCAAATACATAAAAATATAAAATATGCTCATAATGAATTAGCAAATAGGAACTCTAGTAGAAAAACAGAAATCACTTCTTAAAAAATGAAAACCCTAGAATTGAAAAATATAAAATATGAAATAAAAAAATTAACAGCAGATTGTAAATGACAAAAGAAGAGTCATAAACATGAAGATAGATCAATAGAAATTATCCAATATAAAAAAATATATAGAAAAGAGTAAATATGTAAATATAAAAGATTTTTTCCTCTTAATTTCTTAAAAATACAAATGACTATTTAAGGCAAAAATTAAAACTTTAGTGCCGGCCTGGTGGCGCACTGCTACAGTGCGCCGCTTGGGAGCGCGGTGGCGCTCCTGCCGAGGGTTTGGATCCCACATACAGACCGGTTCCCGCTCACTGGCTGAGCGAGGGGCGGGAGCAACACCGAGGGGTGTGATCCCGGTGCCAGTCCCGGTCCGGTACGGGCGTGACACTGAGGGTTGCGATCCGTTGCCGGACACGAAAAAAGACAAAAAAAAAAAAAAATTAAAACTTTATATTGTGGGGTTTATGATGTATTCAGCTGTAATATATAATACAACTACATCATAAAGGATGGGGATAGGGAATAGGCCTGAATAGTTGTAAGACTTTTATATTTTACATGAAGTGGTATAATATTAATTCTAAGTTCTCTGTGAGCAGTGGTTCTCAACTGGGAAGGATGTGCCCCCCCTGGGAGATGTGTGGTAATGTCTGGAGACATTTTTAGTTGACACAACTTGGGGACATCTAGTGGATAGCAGCTAGGGAATGCTGCTAAACATTCTACAATGCATAGAACAGCCCCCCACAAAATAGAATTATCTGTCCCAAAATGTCATTAAGAGCAAGGTTGAGGAAGCCTGCCCTAGAGCAACCACTGAAAACTACCCATAAAACAAAAAACAATAATAATGTAAAGACACAAGAAAAGAGAACAGGAAAGAAGATAGGAAGAAGACAGTAAAGGAAGAACAGCAGAACAAAAAACATAGCAGACAAACAAAAAACAAATAGTAACATGGCAGACCTAAATCCAATCATATCAAATTACATTAAATGTAAATGGACTAGTCATTGCAATTAAAAGACAGAGATTGTGGGATTTTTAATCTATTGACATAGATTTTTAAAAAGTTAACCTGAAGGTATGCTGTCTAAAAGAGACACATTTTAAAGATAAAGACACAGTTAGGTTGAAAGTAATGAGATGGAAAAAAATAACATATCTGTTAACTGCTGGATTATGCCTTGCCTGATACTTACCTTTAGATTCTTCAGTTGTATGCTCTAGTGAATTCCTTCCATTGTTTAATACTGTCTGAATTGGTATTTTGTTACTTAAAATAGAACTATTTCTGAGACAAATAGTGAAGAGACTTCTAAGAGGTATTTGTATACATGGTTAGGAAAGAACAGAAGGTCCGGGCAGGTCAACAGAGTCCATAACACAACTCCTCCCTCCTCTGAGCAGCAGGGTTGCCTAACTGTTGATAGTGCTGGGGATATATGTTACTGCCAGCACTTTTTTGTGTTGGTCAGGCTAAGAGAAAATGAACAGAAGGTCAGCAGCAAAGTATAGAGACTGCCAGTAAGAAGCAATAGAACTTAAATGTAAGATCACTAGGGACTTGGCATGAACGGAGTGACAAAGAATAAGAAAAACAGTAAAACAAGAAAAAATTCTGGGCTAAGACTGTGCTTCCCTATGGATAAGAAGTCAGCATGAAGTTTCTAAAAGCAGTGCATAGCAGAAGATATGCTTGCAAATGTTTGCTGAAAGAACAAGGCATAATTGTAAGGTAATTATGTATATAATTATGCATATAATACACTGAAGTATATTCATTTAGCTAGAGTGTTTGGGGAATAAGATAAGAAATAGGAGGAAAATTCCACCTTGTCACATTACATCAATCAGTCTCTCTCTTAGTTTCCTCATCTGCAAAATGAGAATATTACTTCTCAAGAGTTTTTGAGGATTAAATGAGACAACACACAAAAAAAAACCAAAACAAGAACTTGGTCCAAGTGAGGAATCAATAAATAGTAGGTGTTATTGTTTGAACTGTGTTCCCCTAAAATTTATATATTAAAGTCCTAATTCCCAGTACCTCACAATGTGAACTTATTTGGAGATAGGATCTTTACAGAAGTAATCGAGTTAAAGTGAGATCATTAGGGTGGGTCTAATCCAATATGACTGGTGTCCTTATGACACAGTTGAGTATGCTGTCCCCCCAAAACTCATGTCAAAATCTGATCCCCAGGGGCTGGCCTGTGGCTCACTCGGGAGAGTGTGGTGCTGATAACACCAAGTCAAGGGTTAAGATCCCCTTACCGGTCATCTTTAAAAAAAAAAAAAAAATCTGATCCCCAATGTGGCAGTGTTGAAAGCTGTTTGGGTCATAGGGGTGGATCGCTCATGAATAGATTAATACCCTCCCTCGGAGAGGATAGTGAGTGAGTTCTCTTGCTCTATTAGTTCCCATGACAGCTGGTTGTTCAAAGGATCCTGGCACCTCCTCCTCTCTCTTGCTTCCTCTTGCCATGTGATCTTGCACCCGCCAGCCGCCTGCCACTTCCATGAGTAGAAGCAGCCTGAGGCCCACACCAGATACAGCTGTCCCAGAATTGTGAGGCAAATCAATCTCTTTTATTTATAAATTACCCAGTTTCAGGTATTCTATTATAGCAACACAAAAACGGACTAATACACCTTATAAAAAGGGGAAATTTGGACACAGACACATGCATAGAAGGAAGATGATGTGAAAAGACATAGAAGAAGATGGCCATCTACAAGCGAAAGAGAGGAGCCTAGAACAGATACTTCCCTCACAGCCCTCAGAAGGAACCAAACCTGCCACACCTTGATTTAAATTTCAAATGTACAGAACTGTGAGATAACAAATTTCTGTAGTTTAAGCCAATCAGTCTGTGGTACTTTGTATGGCAGCCCTAGCAAAATAATACAGTAGTTGATGGTGTTAATAATGGTGATGATACTATCTACCCTTAACGGGTATTTTTCCCAGTTGAAAAATGGGACTTAATACTTATGATCCAGGCAAAGGGTTGGGGAAGTCGTAATCCTGATCAGAGAACAGACTCTGGTGCCAAATAGCCTAATAGTTCTAATCCTATTTACTAAGTGTGTGACCTTGAGCAAGTTACTTTCCTGGGGAAAGGGACCTTAGCCAGTGAATGGCCATCTTTGGGGGTAACTAAGACAAAACAGAAATTTTCAGTTAGCCATTAACTTAGGAACAATGCTATTTCAACTAGTGACTTGCTGAACTCACAGTTCTCCTTTTTCAAGTGAGTCAAAGTCATTCCAAGCTGAAGAACTGATAATCATCAATTCCTTGAGGTTAGCAGAGGAATTGAGAAACTGACCATAAGGCTGAAACTGCCCAGAGATGAAATCATACCCCAAAAAGGATCCTTCTCAAAAGTTGATTTCCGTTTATCTCCCGTTACACCCTCTTGTGTTGATCTACTTTAGATGTTGCTCCCCTAAAATTAAGAATTGAAACTAAGTTTTCTTGTTTTCCTTACCTTTCCTAATCAACTGCAAACAAAGGAATTCCAAGAGAAAGGGAAAAAGCACCCTGGCTGATTATTAAATCACCTTCTTGCTTAAAGGAAAATTGCATCCACATTAGTTAGAGGTAGGAGTCAGGTATTTTTAAGTTCCAGTGATGCCTGAGTGAGGTTGTTGTCTTTGAGCTCTCCCTAGTAGATAAGGACTCCAACCCCAAGATAACATCAAGTGTTTGAAGCTGACCAGTCCACCAACTGCAGACTCCATGACGCCAAAGCATCCATTCCATGATGGGACCTGACATCTGACTCAGACCCTCTGCTGAACCCATGACCAGCCTCCCCATTTTCCTGCAGGACAAAACCCTTACCTCACCATCCTGCCTCTTTCCCTTTATAAACTCCAGAACAGGCATCAGAAGGCAGGATGATTTTAGCCTGGTCATCCCCCAAATGCCAATTATCTGAATAAAACTTCCAATCCTTGCACCAGCTTTTGGACTTTCAGGTCATTTGTTTAGGACAAGGGGGCAGCCAAGCCTGTTGATGGTAACATTGGGTCTGGCTGCTCATCACAGTACCTCCCCACAGACAGGGGCTACTCCTGATGAAACAGAGTAAAGCTAGGCCTGTGAACCAAACTGACTCCATTTTCCCTGCAGAGGACACTCTATTACTTTTCCACTCCTCAGTCATGAGACCCCCCCAGGGCAAATGATTACCCTGTGGGCTGCCCTGACAAAATAGACTGAGAGGAGAGGAAACAGATATTTACTGAGTTGCAAAACCCCTCCCCAAGGTTTGTTTACTATAATTGTAGAAGTTACAGATTAACCTTAAGACCCCTTTAGGAACTCCCACCTGCGCACAAAGCATCAAGGTGACTGCTACAATGACCCTCCTGGGGTGACAATGATGAATACCACTGCCATTTTGGACCTACAAAGCATGCACCTATTACACAACCAGGAAGAACAGAACGGACCACCTCTAGTGACACTGGCCTGTACCCCTTAACTCCTTTCCCTATAAAAGACCCTGAAGAGCTCCCCTCGGGGGGCTAGCTTTACTGTCGCTACCCCCCTTATGCATAAGTCTATCTCCTCTTTTAATAAAGCGTTGCTTGCTTTACTGCTGGGTACATTGTTCATTTCTATGACTTTGAAATCCTAGAGCCTAATTTAATCACTGGCAAAAATTGGAAAGTTTTGGGCGCCAGAGAAGACTCTAGCTGAAAGAGGCAAGTGGTCACTGGGACTATTTTGCTCCCATGTCTCTGCTGCTGGTAGATCTCTCCTGGAGTATGTGGCCTAAATTCTGACAAGGCAATGCTTTATTCTCTTTACCTTTCTCTGATTTCCTGAGCCCTCTTCTGCTGTTTGGTTGGATTGTATCCACTACTATGTAGGTGCACCATGGAGGGCTCCTGGCTATGCTTTGTCTCTGATTTTCCGAGCCCTCTTCTGCTGTTCTGTATAGGTGCACCCTGGAGGGCTCCTGGCCATGCTTTGTTTTTCTGATTTAAATATAGTCGATACTTTTCTTCTTTATTCCACCAACAGTGGGGAAAACTTTTATCACTGTCAGTGGAATAGGTTGGCCCCACCGATTGGGACTAGGATAAACTGGACCCCACTGCTCCTCTTTTCTCTTTGTTTGTTTGTTTGGTTAGACATTTAGTTGAGTACTGGTAATCTGAATAAACCATCCAATCCTTGCACCAAATTTTGGACTTTCAGGTCATTTGTGTAATGCGAGAGGGCACGCCGAGCCTGATCTGTCAGTAACACTGGGGACCCCACAAGCTGTGGAAATTAATTCAAATGTCTAAGCAGTGGCCACCAATGGTCTGGCTTGAGTGCTAATGGGCAGCTAGTGTCTTCTTGAGGCATTCCTTGCTTGTGATGAGACAAGCCACTGGAGACCGACACCTTGCTTTCTTTCTCTCCCATGTGACCCTGACCAAAAACTCACTACTTTCATTTTTTGTTAAGGTAGAGATCAGTACTTCTTATAAAAAAAAATCTGTTTAATTACCATTTTGGCTTTACAAATAGGCTTAAAGTAGCATTTTGATGGTAATAAAAAAAATTCCATTTACCTATGGAAGGTCAAATATCTTTGGACATCCTACTTTTTTCCAATATGACATCAAAGGGAATGAATAAAATCTGAAAGGAAAAAATGATATTACAAATGACTTAAAACTAGAAGCACCATTCTATTTACAAAGAGAAGCATGATTAGAGCCCAGACAGACGGTGCAAACCAGCCTGATCCTTTCATATTTTGAAATTTCATTTCAAACACTGTGTAGCAGCCCCAAGAGGCTCCTACAAGTATACTCTGACCTTGCTCTCTTCTGAATTACAAATGCACTTGTACCACAGAACCCCACAAGTGTACAGTTTGAAAGAAGCAGAGAATCAAAAGCAAAGACATTTATTAAATAATAAAATAAGCTTAAACGTGAGGTCAATATAGCAAAGAAATAGATACTGTTTAGGAGAAATTAATTATAATTAGGATGTTCAAATCAATAAGAAAAATGCTCTGTGCTTGAATTATCTCCACTGACAAGCACACACTACTTGCAGAGCCTGTTCCAATGACAACGTGCCCCAATTTACTAGTTCTCAAACTTGGCTGCACCTTGGAATCATTTAGGGGGCTTTATAAAAAATACTGATGATCAGACCATACTCACAGAGGGACTTATTATAATTGGCATAGGTATAGCCTTTGTATTATGATTTTTAAAAGAACTGTCAGTGATTCTAAAGACCAGTAAAGTTAGAGAACTACTGTTCTGTGAGAAAGTTCTTCCTTATATTCAGCCAACATTGGCTGCCATGCCCCATCAACATCTTCCATCCCTGGTCCTAGTTATGCCCTCCAGAGCAAGGCTTTGTATTGGAAGTATATGGATGAGCTTCAGGAGGTCTATGATATCTCTGAAAATGCCTGCACCAGAATCACAATACTGTCTGTCAGGACAAAGGCTGAGAATAATTGATCCAGAGACTGCCCATTGTCTCAACATCTCGAAAACCCTATCAAATGGTTCCATGTGCTCATCTTCTCTTCCAGAATAACCATCTCCAGCTCCTTCAACCATTCCTCATGTCATGAGAATAGGTGAAATCTGGGGGGAGACTACATATATACAAATAGAGAGAAAGGAACACAGAGGCCAATAGATGTGATATTGGGTAAGTCCCTATTTTGCAGTATAAATTGGACCCAGCAAGGGAACCAGAAGAGGTTCCAGTCACATTCTATTACAAAGTAGCAATAGAAATGTAGGTAACAATAATA